TTACATAAGTATAGCTTAATTTTTAATATAAAAAGCTTAATAAATAATTGCAGTCATTAATTTTCTAAAAATTATAAACAAATTTTGCTTATAAATACAAGAACTAATAAATCATGAGACATGGCTAAAAGCCTTTTAAGATTGCTTCTTTCAAAATGCAGTATATCAACTGCTTAAAAAGATGTAAGATTCCTATAAAATGCTGGAACACAGCAATTGAGGAACTGCTTTTCTAAGAGCTTGTAAAAATACCTTTTAATCTAAAAGCTTTGGTAAGCACACCAGTCAGCTAAACAGCATCAAAAGAAATGGTCACCAGTCAGCATGTCTTCGAAAACAAAGGCAATATTTGGGGCTATTGTTTCAGGGTAAACCTAGAGAAAGAGGACTTAGAATAAAGGACCACTTACCTTACTTATCTCACTACTACTCCAATTTTCCTTAAATGTTTCCTTCATCAGCACACGTCCCTAGTTTTTTCAAATGCCATACTTTTAATGGAACCTTCACTTTTGCTACTGCCATGTCTGCTTATGTTCTTACATTGGTTTTGCACTGTTCTTGCATTGGTTTGGTGGGTCATTAAATTCAGTGACCTAAACTAAGAGTTTCCTGATTCACTCTAGAGCAAAGAAAGTCAAAAAGACACCTCCAGGAACACTGCTATGATGAATGCATTTAACACTGAACTGTCACAAAAATAGTGGCCATAACATAAGAATCTAACAACTGATTATGCCAAAACAATACAGAAAAGTGTCTAATTTTGAGTCTTTATGACTCAGTTTATCACTGTACATGAGAAAAGCAGGTCACATTTGCACACAATATTTTATATTGACTGTTTAATTGTCAAGCATGTATTTATAAAGTCCACACTGTGGAATGGTGAGCACTTTGAAGGATAGCATTGTAGTTCAGAACTTTCTTGATAAACTGAACAAAGCTCTACACTTAAAAGGAATAAAATGCACAGACAGAAAATGAGGAATCACAATATAGCAGCAACACATGCAGGAAAGCATTTAGGACTTTACCACGGACCTTCTGTACAATACTGAGATGCTCCTGCAATAAAGGCAAGTTGCATACACTTAGAGGATTCTGCATGAAGACAAGGGAAGCAATTATGATACTCCAAAAGATTATATTGCATCTAAATTCTATATGATTTTATGCTGAGGGTCCAGATTGACTATTGTGTACAATTCCGGGGAATATAAATAAGACCGAACTCTCGACTGCAGAAATGGCAAAATTGAAAAAAGATGCCCTACAATGAAAATATGAAAATTTTAATACGAAACAGTTAGAGAGTGTGTGGAGTTGAAGAGAGAATAAGGGAAACTTCAGAATAACTATCTCATACGATACCAAGAAAACTCTTAATTTAGGAAGATTATCTGATAAGAGAGCAATTTATCCACTGTTAGTGAAGACTCAGTTTAGACATTAGTAAAAGCTCTATAAAGTTTTCCTTAAATTTTCTATAAAATATAATATATTGAAGTGTTTGAACAGGCCACTTGGAGAGAGAAATGTTTTGCTGTTGTTGAACACTTCTGCAGAACAGATTCAGAAAACATCCACCAAGAATTTTCTTAGAATATTTATTTTTCCTGAGAGAATGAGGAAGATAGATGAGATGAGGTTCAGCACTAAATTTCTATTATTCTACATTATTTACCAGACTAAATCTATTACATTACATATATATGTTGATTAAAATGGCCTGTATAAATACTGTTCTATAGTCAATCAGTGCTTGATTGTTGCCCTCGAGTATAATTTGCCTTCAAACAATTTGCAGACTGTTGCTAAACATTACAAAAGAGCAAGATCAGCAGTCTGCATGACAACAGCTGGGAATGGCTTGTGTAAAGAGGCCAATGGGACATGATATCCAAAGCTTTCAGAGTGCTGCACTGCACCCCAAGTTGTACAATTACCACTGGCATAAGTAAGAACCATATTATTATATCCCCAAACTTCTATGACTGAATCTGGCATGTCTAGTTCCCCAGCCATATTTAACTTAGCTATTTAACATATGTTTGCCTCTTTGTGGGAGACAATGTGATTTGTTAATTTTAAAGCCAAATTGTGCCCTGGGTGTGCTACAAGGACAAAGAAAAAGAAGTTTGGCTGCATTAAATAAACAAACAACAGTAAAATCAGATTTTAAAGTCTCAATTTTCTCAGAGGAAAACAGATTTAGAATGGTGGAGTCCAAACTACACTTCTCTAAAGGTCCCTACTCCATAGCAAGTATAAAGGTAACCAAAAATAGGACAGAAAAAAATACCTGCCCGACCAAAAATTTTAACAGCTGTGCTATTTAAAGGATCAAGACCCTGCAGCTTAATGATTAATGAAGGTTGACCGTACCTGCTGACTTGCAGAGTCAGACGAGTAAATGAGTCATGAGGAGGTTGTAAAAGGCAGAGCAAAGCCCCTTCAGGGTGAACTCATGGCAGCCGCTTACTGCACGTTCATCCTTTGCAATGGGCTGCCAGAACTCAACCTGCTGCAGCATGACTGCGACTACCGAAAACAATGTTTTTCCAGCCTGACTGTACCATGTCCGTATCAGGCACTGAGATGTTAGTCCTTATTTAACACCTTGCTACTCTAGCACATGCCCCTCTACAGTACCTTGAGGCATTACACCTGTTGATCAGTTTAACACTCAACAGCTGTGCAAAACAGAAGCCACAGCCCCAATGGGACCTTGACCTGAGTAGAGAGTGTGGATTCAGGTTTTCCCCATGAAAGACATTGCAACCCATACTTCATGATATGAAAGCGGCACTCACAGCCTTGAAAATAACGGTGTTTTACAGTCTCTGTAACAGAGGCATGGGGGTAAAGCATGTGTCTTATTTGGTCAACTTTCATTTCTTTCTATCCTGGTTGTACTGCAAAGTCTTGCTAATATGAATGAAGCACTTCGCTTCATGCAGTGCATTCATGTGCTTTGTTTTGACTATTATTTGAACAGTAAATATGTCTCCTCATGGAGGCAGAGGCTTATGCCTGTAGTCCAGAAGTAGCATTTAGTCTCTTGCCACTATTAAGGAATTTTCACTGAGTTCTGTTCCACTGGGTAATTCATTGAATAACATATCTCCATCTGAGCACAGAAAATACATAGCTGCAAGTGGCATGCAAGTTACTGTACACAGTTTTTTCTTACTCTGCGCAGCTCTTTAGACACCACTAGGATCTTCACGTTATCATAAAAACACAGTGCAAACCTTTGAACTAAACTTCTTTTTTTCTTCTCTAGTTACTAGCACCTAGCCATGATACAAGAGACATCAGTATTTATCACTGTAAGCATTCATTGGATACTTCAATAAGAATCTTAAATCTGTATCAACACAGGCAGAACTGGCAGGCACTATCTGAATGAACTTCAGTTCATTGTGCTAACCAGGATGAGCACAATGAGTACTGTTCGTGCCACAGAAATACAAACTTAGTTATGCATAAAACTTGAAACTCTCATCTGCCAATTAAAATACCGATTTCAGATTGCAATCCATACAACAAAGGTAGTTAAACAATCTTCTCTCCTCCATTGGGCTTTTTTCTGATCTATATAGAATTTCATTTGCATCCCACTCTGCCGACTTCAAAATTCCTCTGTACTTCAGCAAAGCTTAGTGAGTTTCTCACTACGTTACGAGTTAGGCGTAAAGGCAAAACTCAGGCCAAGTCCTTCCCATTAGCCACAGCTATAGAGACATTAACAACTGAAATACAGAAATAAATGGTGACAAGTTTCTTTTAAAATAGATGAAGCACCGCCATTTCTACTTCTTAACATCAGCTGATGCTTTAATGCTAGGTTACTTTAAAAAAAAAAAACCAAACAAACCTGTCCATATTAAACAGATTTCTCCCAAATAACATCAGGAAATTGTTTAATTTTAAGGAAGATAGAGTTATTCCAACATCAAATAAGTTCTCACTTATTCTAGATTTTCTTACAAAACCTGTGAAAACCAGAAAGAGGCCTCTAGGCAAATTCAATAGGAAAACAGGGCAAATATGTATTGAGTTTGCGCATCATATTTGCTATATACAAAAAACAGAAGCCGCTTCAGGAAGAGATGCTAGGACTAAGTTGATTTCTGTCTCCTTGTAGATCACCAAAATTAGAACTTTTGAGTATTCCCCTTGAAAACATAGAAATGCTTCTTTGAGGCAAGTGAAATCTTCTATCTATAAATCATTATTAAAATTAGTATCAATACTATTACCCATATAACCAATATAATTCAACAGTATTTCTAAGTTTGGAAAGTGAAATAGCAAACAATACCTCATCTGATAATCAACAAACAACAAACCTACATAATTCCTACCTACTTTCATAAATATGATGTGTATTCTCAATTTCCAGAATTCCTTTCATGCAATGTGATCTTGAAATACCTAGAAATACTATTTTGTGAATCATTGTTCTGGATTCTGATCCTTTTAATAATAATAAACAACATTTCATCCTACTGAATGCGTTCATTAAGTAAAGTACTACTGAGCATCAATAAAACAGCGGAATCTAATTTATGACTGATAAAACAGTCATTACAGCTGTGGCAAACACACTTTTCAGAGGCATAATCTACATCTGAATGGACAAAAACATGTAGGTAAAGAAATACAAAAAGCAAAATGTGAATAAAATGATTTTCATATTCACTTTGGATAACAAATTCAGGTGTCCTAGACTCTAGTTCAAATAACTGATGCTCGTGTTTAACTGTAAGAATGTGGGAAGGCGAGCTGAAGTGAAGGTACAGAAGCCTTGACCTCTTGAAGAGGTTGCATGGAATATTAAATATGTGACGTTGTTCTCGTGTCAACATCCACAAATATTTATGCTTACTTAGGCATAGTCTGCATTCTGCTGTGCAAATAACATCTCCCTTTGAGCCAAGCACACAGTAAGGAAGACTCCTGGAGGTATAGATCAGGGAAAGTTCTCTCACCTGAAAAGTTCCTGCATGGTCTTCTTCTTTGTCACCTTCTTTTCCTTCCTTGAGAGCAATCAATGTGAATCCTCGAAAGTAAGCAGGAGTGGCAGCAGAAAGTGTCACTGAGATATAATAAGCAGAGAAATAATGAAAACATAATATAAATCGTGAAATCAGCCACTTGCATATCATTTCACAGTTCAACTTGAAATGTGCATGTTGTAAACTGGTATTAACAAAAGCTAGAGCACTAACATCATAGAGCAGCACCAGCCAGAATACAAAAATGTTCAGTCCAAGTTTCCACATAAACTGCAGAACACTGGCATGATGTGAAATACCTCAGCTATTTTTTTCCATACATACACACACCCTTTTTTTTTTTTTCTTCCCCCAAAGCAGATTGCTAATCTGCTCAGATTGCTCAATCTCAGATTGCTCAAATCTCAGATTGTTGGTGGTGTTGGTTTCGGGGCAGGGACACACATGTTTGGGTTTTTTTTTTCTTTGGGTTTTTTTGTGGGTTTTGTTTTTTTTTTTTTAAATGTGAGGGAACAACTCCTGAATATTTGACTTCAGCTTTCGTCCTGCTCTGAGCATAGACAAGGATCCAGGCATTTTAGTACACAGAAAGTGTCTTTTAACTGTAGAGCAAGATGTCCATACTGCCTGCTCCAGCTCAGCTACAGAAAACACAGTACTCCAGCTGATGGAGATGGTTGCTCTGAAACTATCCTTCCTCTCCCTTAACCTCAGGGCAGAACAGGACACGAAGTTAAACTCATGGTTAAAGCTGACCTCTAAAGATTGTGTTGCCAGCTCTGACTGCCAAAGCATCTTACACATCAGCAAAACACCCTTCTTCACACACCAGTCCTGACCAGGAAGGCATCATTGGATCCACTAGCAGAGAACAAATAACATAATGCTGACTAATCTGATTTTCCCATGCTCAGCATCAGGATTACAACCCTCATTTTCTGCTAGTGCAAGACACCTTTTTATGACTTTTTTATTTGCCATCATCAGTACCTAAGCACCGCGCAGCAACACTTGAGTTACGTCAGCTGTGGCTCTTTTGAACACTATCAGAAAGATGGAATGAGGCAGAGCTTTGAGGCAGGACTTTTGGGGGAGTTTTAAAATTACTAAACGCTTTTTCAACACCTTATAGGAATCCTCTTATGAAACAGACATAAATTTAAAGGAAAAATTCTTTTTGAATTAAAGGAAAAGAGACAGAAAATTGGACTACTAATACTTTTAAGTAGCTTTTACTTTAAGCATAATGCAGACAGCGTTGCTTGTAGCACACTATTGTCACACTCTCAAACCCTGACTGGCACAACAAAAACTGAAGACCACCCAGAGTTTTCATGAGCAAACTGCAATTACCAGTGCTGTTTCATAGAAGAGTATTCACAAGAGAGTCCCTCTCACATAAATGGGCTGTAAGGGGTTGAAACACATTACTGAAAATGACAGATTGCCCTTAAAAGATATGGATTTCAGAATATGTCCAGAGTTCATTCGGAACATATAGAGAGCTCTCTGATATAGAAATTCAATAGTGGAAAAATATAAAATAGGATATTGGAAGATTTCTAGTATTATGCAGCTGTATTCGGGTCTAAAAACTGCAGTGTTTGAACCAACACATAACTTTTCTGACTATATGTGAAAAAAGGACGGAGAGATACACAAAAGGTTAAAAATTGGAATGAAAGTGCCATGTTTAGACCCGTACACCTGCAAACACCTGTACAAATCTAGAGTAGTGAGGCGCATAATAGCAAGCCCCCCAACTCTCAAGATTTTCAGCACACTTTTCATTCCATGGAACCTTATTGTGATGTTAAACTTCAACATTTTTGAGGAGAAAGAAACTTTCTCCTCAAACTGGAGGAACTGAGTAGTAGCATAATAGCATTAAAATTTCTGATTACATTTCTAAGTATTGATCCAAGTCATTAATTCATTATTTCCCCAATAATTAGTATTATTAGCCCAATTTTGCAAACTTCTGTAGCTCTATCTAAATGAAAATCCACAGCCCGCCTCCCAGTTGCAGTAGTTGAGAAGAACACACTGCTGAACTCAGCAAGGATGAACACATTACACTTGCTTGAACACTGATTCTTAGAAACTAATTGCAATAAAGGTCTTTTACATGCAATAAATTTTTCCATATATTATATGTAATTCAAAAGTCTGAATCACTATGAGTAAAAGGTTACACCAGAAATACTTAAATACTTATGCAAGCAAGCAGAGAATCCAGCTGTGAATTGACTCAACAGTTTTTGTCATTTTCCTCACAAATTTACAGATCAAACCAAACAGTTTTCAAAATTCTAAACAAAACACCTACCTATAAAATACAGGACTTCTGAAATGCTACAAAAGCCATCAGAGGGAAAAAAAAAAAACAAAACACCAAGGAAAATAATTCTAAAGCCTGACTCATAGTTTTTGAATGCCTGGGGTTAGCAATACTCATGCTGTGGTTGCACAGTCATTTTAACCCAGAATAAATCCATGCTTCCTCCAACATGAGCGATCCTGCCCTCCCCCACCCCGCACTGCTCGTACAGCAGCCGCATCCACGCAGCTGTGCTGTCAGCGGAACTAGGGAACACATCCAGCTGAAACGTAAAACAAAAAACCCCAACCGGAGAGTTCAGCTGGGTCCAGTCCCCGAGTGGCTGCACTGTGCAGCCCCAGGAGCACTTCTGCCCGTGGCGGGGACACCCGGATACCGGTGAGGGGCCGGGAGGGTGATGATCCGCAGGAGCAGAGTGGACTCGTGGGATTTAAGCGTCTGTGCAATCTCAGCTTAAGGACCCCAAGATGAATGTGTGCTTTGGTCACCCCTGAGCAAGGCCAGAACAAACGCTAACGTCTGAGCTGAAAAGATTCCTGTCAGTTCTCTGAACTGTCCAGTGTGCTAAGATAACATTGCAGTGCAAGGCTTTATTTGAAGCACTCCTAAATACAGAGCCTTGTTATGGTGATGGTTCTGTAGTCGCTGGCTCTGGACTGATCGTTTCAGCACAGAAGAAGGAGGCAGTTGCACCGGCAGCAGTGGGAAGCTGTCAGACGACATCTGGCTTTCACAAGAAATAGCAGCTCCTCATTGCATAAGAGTCGAGAGTTCTTGGGCTAAACTCTGCCATTTTAAAGAACAGCTGAGTATTGCTCACACTGTGTTCACATTAATTAACGTTCACTGAACAATATGAACTTCCTGTAAAGATCAGTTAAATCTCAGTGCAAGTCTCAAAGTTAAGGATTTTACTTTAAAAGGAAGATTACATATCAACAGTTACTTTTGTCTGTGTCCATCCCCTCTGGCAAATCTCCGATTCCCTTACAAGTTGCACTTTGGCACACACCTTCAACACACTCCTCTTTCCTCAGTGTCCCCAGCTAAAGGTGGGGTGATCAAAGCAATTGCTCCTTTGGTTTCAGGCAGGAAATCTGACTTTCCACATCCTACGCTACAGCACAGCCTGCGTTGTACATTGCACAAGTACCAACAAATACACTTTTAGTATCTACTTCTATCCATAATTTGTGAAACATGAGAATCTCTAAAATATTTACAGAATGAGAGTTTATTGTAAAGTATAGAAAAGAGTGTTTGCATGTTGGAGGGAAGAAAGAAATGGAAAGAAGAAGATTCAAATTCCTTAAAAGTCCTTAAACTAATGCAATGGAGTGTGTAACATTAACTGAGCTTGTCTGTGAAAACTGAGAAGGTGAACAGACCTACAAGTGAAAATTCCATTAAAAACAGAAACAGCATCTACATAAAAGGTATATCTAAGGACTATACCTGTCAAATCCTCATTTTCTCCATCAAAATAACAATTTCAGAAAATTATGGAGGAAACTATGTACATTGCATGTTAGCACATGAAATGGACATACTACTGCCTTTTTTTAGAAGCAATTTCAGTTATATTTTTAATAGGATGAAACACCCAATTTTTCATGGAAATCTCATGCAATCATTAATCTAACTCTACAGATCAATAAAGCTAGGACTGAGTACTTTCAAGGATCATTACCCTGTAACACCATCTAAACTTAAGGCTCATTTGTGCCCTTTGAATGCAATGGGAACTTTGACCTTCAGTGGAAGCAAAAGCAGTTACATCAAGGTCTAAGTTAACCAGCAGGTAGGAGAGGACCTCAATCGCAGGATGGCGTACCCACAAACCTGATCCTATGGGAAGACCTCCCCACCACATGGATTTGGCTGCCTGCTCCACACAAGGGGAGAGGCAACAATATCGCAGCCTGAAAGACCAGGCAGATGAAGGCCACGTGCAGGCTACAACATCAGGAGTCCCAAATAAGATGTTAGAAATCAGTCATGTCACCTCCCCTGTGGGACACCATGAAGCCCATAGCCATTGTTGCTTTGTTAGACATTAGGGAGGAAAGCAGGATGGCTCTGGCTCCTCAGCCCTGCTGCTACCTCATTTTTAATTGTCTGAAACGGGAGAAAGTTTCCTTATTTACTGCTGCCAGTGTTTGCAGACCAGAGGAGGTGCATGCCCATTCAAAGAGGCTATTCAGTGCTCAGGGCCATTTTCCTCTATCACAGCTCCAGAGAGGTGGAAAACCAAGGCTTCCATACACCCAGGATTTCCCTTTAGGGCAAATAGACCCTGGTTGATCTAAAGGTGAGTAACTGCAGGAAAACCATAAAAATTTTTCCAAAGACAAATAGCAGCTGTGAATTGCGGTCTTCCGATTCCCACACTGCAAGAGTGCTGCGATGTTTCCTTCAGTAATTGCAGCTTGAGGGTCTTATGTGGGTGTCACGTCAACCAATGATCGAGAGAGCCACGAACATAAATGGGTGCCTCTACACCATCAATTTGGTGGAGTATGGCATTTGTATGTACAGTTAATTCCTGTGTTATCCACTTTGCAGAAATACTAATTTATTCCAGGAGCCCGCTAGGGAATGTGCCAAGGATCCAGACTGCACTAAATCAAACAGGGGCCATGGAAACAGGCACATTTGGCTCCAACACAACGGAGGTTGTGCAAATCTTCTGCAGTGTTGTACATCTAGTAATTTAAAGATAAAAAACCCCCACAGACCTGTCATAATCCTGCATTTTTTTATCATTAGTTGGATTTTCTACCCTTTGCATAAAACAGTAATAAAGTTCCAGTTGTACTGCAGTATTTCCTTTGGAAATGAGCTCTTGAAACTTTCTGTAATCCTGTTAGTTTTAATTATTGCCATAGATAATGTATATGTTACAGTAACATTTACTTACGTTCTTCCAACTATTCAGAAAGTGTCCTTAAAGGACTATCTAGATAAGCTTATGTGCCACCTGAATACTTCAATCTTAAATACCAAAAACTTGGGCTACATTTTAACTTTGTACTATTAGCTGTAATTTTCTCACTTCCGAGAAGCTACAATATACTAATGTGATTTTATTAATTGAGTTCCTAAAGCCAAGACCTAGTATCTCCAGAAAATTAGTTCTGCTAATTCATCTGGGAGTTTCCTTCCCCTACATTTCCATGCAATAGAAACTTCTTTGGTAGATGACTGAAAATATCCAATAATGCTTTTACAGAAGTAAATTCCAAAACTTTTTAAGAACATTCACATTTGTCACTATCAAAGAACTTGACACTTATCTTTATTCGGCGTAGTAGACGTATCAAACTGACATGCAACATGAAATCTTTCAGACCCAAGGTACTAATCCTGATGTCGAGAACAGTTAACCAATTTGTGGGAAACGTGCATTTCCTCACACCACATTAAAATAAATCAATTCTTGAGAAAAAAAATTAATCAAAAATCATGCAAAGTTACAGGCTGATGCTCAATACAGGTTAATCACTGCTGCAGATGTATTTTTCAACCTTTAAGAGAACATGATGATTATGCTATGTGCACACTTTTTTCTCCCTACCTATACTAAGACTCTCATGTTCATGCAATGGAAAAACATTGCTTTTGACACTGAATCTAAGGAAGGTCAGGAGAAACACTTAGAAGAAACTCTCAAAATTTGTTTTCCAAAAGTGATGCCTATAAAGTACAGTAGTACCTAAAAATGCCCAAATTCTTTTCAAAGTGCTTTTAAAATACAAAGTTAACAGTCCAAAAAGGTTTGTTTCCAAAGGCATTATATGGTGAGGCAGGAAAAGTGACCAAAAACTGCTTTTGCCTATTAAATAGAAAAGCATGCTGAAATGTGCTTTGGAAGTTAATTTCAAGGGTTGTATGTGAAATGCTCAGCGGAGAACGAATGCCTCCATCTCTTATTTACAGTGGTCATTAGCACCATCTCTGCCTCTTTCCTGTTTGAACCATCTGTTCATTTCCCCAGAAAAAAAAGGGAGGTGGGATAAACATAAGTGGAAAATGTGGGAAGTTGGCAGTGTGCTGCATCACTGTTTGCCCATATGCTAACTCATTATATTAACATTCATATTTCAGGGCAAGAACAATTAGCTCCAA